GCCTGGGCCTGCTTCAGATAGCATAGTGTGAGTGCACCCTGAGTGTGTGTGTGTGAATGAGTGTGTATGGGTGTTTCCCCAATGCTGGGTTGTGGCTGGAAGGGCATCCACCGCTTAAAACTGCTGGAGTAGTTGGCTTTTATTTCGCTGTGCGGCAACCTGAAAGACTAAGCCAAAGGAAAATGAATGAATGAATGAATGAATGAATGTATATATATATATATATATATATATATATATATATATATATATATATATATATATATATATATTGTATTATAGTATTATTTTAACATTATTTTAGAATTTTAGAGGATTTTTTGAGACAATTTATTTGATTTTTTTTTAATTTTCCTTAATCTGAGGAGGTTATAGTTTTATTAGCTTGCCATCTGAAAAGAAAGGCTTAATTTAACAAAGTTAAGTAGTTAATGTCCATAATGGACACCTATAAAAAATTTATTGAAAATACAAAATTCAAAGCTTTTTTTTTTTTTTTTTTTTTTTTTTACTTGTCCAATCAACATAAAATTAAAAGCAAAACTCTATCTCACACACACCTTCCTCCTCTCCAGAAAACACCATTGGAACTATTGCCATTTACTTTATTGTTACGTTTGATATTTTTAGATTTGTATAAAATAACAAGCCACTCGATTTAAGGTTTTGGATGTTGGAACTTCCAAAATCTCAACAAAAATATAAAAACTGCTCAATTTTATTTTACACAACCTCACCTTAGGCAAAATATGTCCACATTAGAACAATAAGGGATGGAATTCTAAGTATACCTAAATATAATAATGCTGTCTAATTTAAAGTAAAGAGTTAAATGTTGGGCATACAGTATGTATGCTGTGAAGATTTTAATAAGTGAACAGCACCATCAAAATAAATACTACGTATCTGAAAATAGTTATATATACTGTACAAATTTCCCAGAGATGGGTTGCGGCTGGAAGGGCATCCTCTGCATACAAAACTTGCTGGATAAGTTGGCGGTTCATTCTGCTGTGGCGACCCCGGATTAATAAAGGGACTAAGCCGACAAGAAAATGAATTAATTAATACTGTACAAAACTGTTCATGTCATTAGAATCAGCTTTGTTTTTTCAAAAATACTATCTAGAAAAGTAAATTGAGTAACAAAGAACATGGATCAGATCAGAGATCAGAGAAGTGTGATGTTAGGGAGAGTTTTAAATAAAGTTTGACCATCACACAGATGGCTTCTTCTGTGTGCTCTGAGCTACTAATTCATCTTAAACACACTTGGCCAGCAGGGAAATCCCTCCTGAAGAGCAGCACTGGCCTTAATACACAACCTACAGTACCTGCTCCTAAAATGACCACACACACACACACACACAAACACACAAGCACACACACATATACGCACACACGCTCGCACACACTTTTATAGACTTTTATACTGTATAGATTGTGTATTCTGTTATCTAACCTAATACTTACTGAAAACATTTAGCAGTTTTACATTCCCAAAATACTTCCTTCTGTGTTATTTATAAGCTATTTTCCACATCGGGAAGGTTAAAAATTTCTGGTATTGGTAAATTTGTAAGGACATTTGGTGCTTACAATGTGATGAATACCAGGACCACAAACACACTGCCAGTCTCACAGACCTAAGAAGTTCAGCTTAGACATGCGTCAATGTTTACACAAGCTTGGAAAGAACACATTTGACTTGTACTGTACTGTACTGTACTGTAATGTACTGTACATCTTAGCAATGTAAAATCACAAACTGCACAGTACACAGTTAAATATAACATTTTCCACTGGGAAAACATCAGGTTCAAGGAGTAATCTCTTCTTAAGGAACCATTATTGTTTTATTTATTTATTTTTGGAATTAAGTGGTTACTATATATATAGTATATATACTAATATAATTGTAAAGTAGTTTTGTAAGTACTACAGCTTTATAATGTAGAAATGAGTTCTGAGCTGCTTAAGGAGCTTTTAATCTAACTGGTTGTTAAAATCTAAAGAACCTTCATGAATCTTCATGAAGCTTTTTTTAGCATTGGAAAGTTTCTTTGGATGTTAAAGGTTTTTCATAGAAACATTGATGCCAATAAAGAACCTTTAGAGTGTGGACAACAGAATAAAACATTCTTTGTGAAAGTCTTGTGACAAGGGTCCCTTAAGGCGACATGGTTATGGAAATAAATATGAGATGGAAGAAACCTCGATACAGTATTTCACTGTGTTTGCTTTAGTTTGCAAATGAAACAAGATTTTTTAAAAGAAACTTTGGAGTAACCATTTTTCAAATGCATTGTAGTTCAGTTGTGAGTAAACCTAAATAATTGTTGAGGAGATGCAATAATGTTTCACACATTATATAAAGGGATTACAATAATATTAACCAAATCACACTGTAGTTAACTTATAAACAGTTGTCCATGTTATAGTTCAAGGTTCACGTTTTACAGTTACTTAACAAAATCACTACTAATAAAAACTGTAGAAGTTTGACACAATACACTCACTGGTCACTTTATTAGGTACACCTTAGAAGCACCAGTTAGGACCCCCTTCAGAACTTCAGAACTGTCCTAATCCTTCATACTGGTATTGGAAATATTCATGTGATTTTGGTCTATACTGACGTGATAACATCACGCAGTTGCTGCAGATTTGTCGGCTGCACATCCATGATGCGAATCACCCTTTCCCCCATATCCCAAACGTGCTCCATTGGATTGAGTTCTGGTGACTGTGGAGGCCATGTGTGAACAGTGAACTCATTATCACGTTCAAGACACTAGGTTGAAATGGTTCGCGCTTTATGACATGGCGTTAACCTGCTAGCAATCAAAAGATGGGTACACTGTGGTCATAAAGGGATGAACATGGTCAGCAACAATACTCAGGTAGGCTGTGGCGTTGCCATGATGTTCAATGGTACTAATGAGCCCAAAGTGTGCCAAGAAAATATCCCCCACACCATTACACCACCACCAGCAGCATGAACTGTCAATACAAGGCAGGCTGGATCCATGCTTTCAAGCTGTTGAGGCCAAATTCTGACCCTACCATTTGAATGTCACAGCAGAATTTCAAGACACTTTAGACCAGGCAACATTTTTTCAATCTTCTATTGTCCAGTTTTGGTGAGCCTGTGTTTCCTGTTCTTAGCTGACAGGAGTGGCACCCAGTGTGGTCTTCTGCTGCTGTAGCCCATCCGCCTCAAGGTTTGACATGTTGTCCATTCAGAAATGCTCTTCTACATACCTTGGTTGTAATAAGTGGTTATTTGAGTTACTGTTGCCTTTCTATCAGCTCGAACCTGTCTGTCTATTCTCCTCTGACCTCTTGCATCAACAAGGCATTTGCGCCTAAAGAACTGACATTCGCTGGATTTTTTTTTTTCAGACCATTCTCTGTAAACCCTAGAGATAGTTGTGCGTGAAAATCCCAGTATATCAGCAGAAGTATTTAGACCAGCTCAACCATGCCACATTCAAAGTCACTTAAATCACCTTTCTTCCCCATTCTGATGCGTGGTTTCAAATGCAGAAGATCGTCTTGACCATGTCTACATGCATAAATGCATTGAGTTGCTGCCATGTGATTGACTGATGAGATATTTGCTTTAACAAACAGCTGAGCTTGTGTACCTAATAAAGTGGCTGGTGAGTGTATACTGTAGAAGTATAAATAACAGGCATAAAAATAAATCCACAATATAATAGAAATATAACATGTTATGTAAATAATATACAAAATAATCCACTGGCATCTAATTAATTTTTTCATATTGTTTTTGAAATGTATAAACAATATGGTATAATAATATATGTTTCTGCAACAATTACATATATAATAATAATAATAATAATAATAATAATGCTGGATAGTTATAAAACAAATATTTAATTTGTTCAATATTTGAATGTGATTTGAAATCAATCAATACAATAATAATAACATTAAGCTATACTGATCCCTTTATCAACTGAATTTGTTTTTTTCTGTTTGACTGTATCTGTCACTATTGTTGTACCATTTTACAGTAATAGTATTTAGTGGGACTAAAAATACTGATACATTTTTTGAAGTATTTTTGAAAATTATACTGTTATTATCTTTATGTAAACTACAGAAACATGATTTTATTTTGTGTAGTCATGTATGAGTACTTGGACTACAGGAGCATATGTGGGCAAATGCATAGTGTTTCAGTGCATTGTCAACTACTGGTCTGGCATACATATAGAGCACTTTTAGTCATATAAGTGTGAATAGAAATGATTTTGACAATGATAATGTCTGCATACATTGAAAAAAAAGATGAATAAATAAAGTACATCTTTGTCATGTAAACCGAGCCTTAGTAAGGAAAACATTATTTCCAACTGAACTGTATGTGTATTGTCATGTTGTAACACAACATGCACCCTCACATTTTGTCAACACAACATACCGAACACCCAGCATAATGCTAATAAACATTGACTGCAGGATCTGAAATACACGTACAATTTTGACAGCCTCAGAAATGCTGCATTTTCCACTGCATGCTGAGCAGAAAAACCTGCGAGAGTGTCAGCGGCTCAGCTCAACATGTCAAGCAAAATGCAGTCAGGTTATATTTATATCTCCAGAAAAACTGGTAGTGTGTCTTTTTATGGAGGCCAGAGGCACGATAATGGAAAAGAGATGGAGTGAGAAAGAAAATGAAAAAAGAGAGAGATAAAGAATGGCAGCATACTAAAACGAGATAGATAGATAGATACACACGCACGCACTCTTACAGAGATATGCCTTCTGGCTGTAGATGAGGGCCACAGCTGTGTTTGGTGTGGTATTTTTAAACGCATCAATGCTGCTCCAATCCCCGCACCGCGCCTGACCTATTTATAGCCCGAGCCGGCCATTGTTCTATTTCTGTCACCTGTGGGCCATGCTCTTGTTGATTCACATGCAAATCAGCCTCCTCCTCTCTGCAGCAAGCAACTTGACGGGGAAAAAAAGAGAAGCAGAGAGACAGAGCTGCAACTCAGAAGAATTGGCGAGCCAGCCAGGAGGAGCTCCCAAATACAGTGAATCTGACACATTGGAGAGAAAATAACAAGCAGTTTTGTCAGGACAAGAAGAAGGCAGAGCGTAAAGAGTGTGAGAGACTCTCCTGCTGATTCTCTGAGCCACTTAGGTGTCGACTGGAGAAGAATGGAAGAGATGAGCAGAGCTGAGGAGGAGTGAAGCTTTTTAGTGTTAGTGAGGAAGAGCTCTGTCACTCTTCGGGTGTCGCTTTAGAGGAGGAGGAGGAGGAGGAGGCAAATGTTCCTGGTCTCTTGAGAGAGAGAGAGAGAGAGAGAGAGAGAGAGAAAGAGAGAGACACAAACACACAGATAGAGAAAGAGAGAGAGAAGAGGAGGGGACAGGCTGACAGCAATACAGGAAGAGCAGGGCTGGCAGACGATGTGCTGCTAACTGAAGTACTAATGCTCCAGACCATTTACGAGGCCGACTCTTGTTTCTCCGCAGACGGCATCGGGAAACACCGTCTGCCTCTGAGCCCTCACGACACTGACATGCACAACGTCAACAACTCAGGTGAGTTCCTTTGTAGATCTTCTTTTTTGTCTGTGATGAGAAGACTTGCGGTAGCATCATCAGGTTTGTCCTGCAAGGTTGGACGATCGTACTATTGTGAATTCTTAGGGAAAAGTTGTTGGGTTGTAGGGATGTCTGTTAGTGGGTTGAATCGTAAATCACTAAACTAACAAAACGGAGGCTTGAGAAACATGCAATTATCTTGTCAGACGTCATTTCGGTAGGTTATGACGGGTCTTAAAATTTGATGTAGTGCGACTTTAATTCAGGAGAGAGGAAACTTCCTGACAGACATACACTGTCAACATGAAAGATGTGTTACTTTTCGCATTTGCCAAAGACAATCGAGCCTTTCTATTTTTGACCTGACACTGTTTGCTGAGAGCTTGGGCTGAGCTGACATCACCGAGTGAGGATGTGTTTGCTTTATTGTCTAAATCTTGAGCGTGACTCATTTCTTTGCTCTTTGCTGTTGTTTTTAACTTGCCGTCTCTGCCAGAAAGCTGCTTCTTTTCTCTCTCACAGCCTCCGTTTTAAATCAGTTATCGCAAGAAAGTACTCTTTCAATTTTCCAACCAAAATTTCACACACATTTTCTAAGTGCAAACTATTTCTACACCTTTATTTTCTGAGAGTGAGCGTGGTGTTCTGAGAAATCTGTGATATGAAAGTTGGGGTGAAAAGGGAGGGGAGAAAGTGCATGTATAATAAGAAGACAGATGGAGTCCTTTCGGTTCCTGTAAGAGGGGTAGGGGACATTGCTTCACCTCTGATTTTTCGTTCTTGCACTTATCATCCCTGAGAGATCCGCGAGAGATCCTCTGTCTAGATTTCAGCTTTGTTGCAACATAACTGAAAGTTTTTCCTCGCACAAATCAGAGCATAACGCAACCCCACTGCTCTAAATATAGCTCTAACCCTCATTTGTTCAAATGCTCTGCACAAAGACAAGAGAAAGACTGAGCTGTCATCTTCAATAAGCCTCAGCACAGCAACCTGTTAGAGAGCTAAGTCCCAACAACCGGGGCAGTAGGGCGTCCCGTTGAATTCACCTGAATCTGAGCAATTCAATTAATGCTCGACTGTCCAGTGAAAGCCCTGTACAGGCATGCGTGGCATCATACAGAAGTATGTGGTTAAACAACAGTCATCCAAGTGAAGCGGACATGCAGGCCTGTTGCTTGCTCTGTGGGTCAGCTATTCTTAGTATGTTATTTTCAGCTTATAGCATTAGAGTGCTAAGATTAGCCGCCGTGGTGCTCTGCTATTGTACCACCGCCGTACACTCTTAATACAAGCATACAGTTATTAACAGAGTTTTGTCACCATCATGTGATATGCGGTTGGGTTGTACATCTGTTATTATTGACGAGGGTCTGCTTGCTTAAAAAAAAATCTGTTTCCTCTTTTGTGTGGCGATGCAAATAGCATTGAGTGTGGAACATCTAATGCAGTTCCCATAACATCATTTTAGCATTTGCTTAAAAGACAAACTGCTATTAATGTGTTGTATTGACTGAGGCAAAGAGGTCAAGTTAAGTATTTCTTGAGGGTGTATACTTAATCTGTAACACTAACCAAACTCAAGTAAGCAGCTCTTTGAAAATATATGATCAGAGTTGATGTTGCTGTCAGAGGATGTTTAGTTTTATGCTAATGTACACCAGCTGTCTGTTTTAGAGGGATAGTTCAACCATAAATTTAAATTCTGTCATTATTTGTTTTCCGTTCGCTTCTTCAAAACCTGTTTGTACATAAAAGAAATATATCCTGTTGAACACAGTAGATGATATTTGGAAGATTGTTGGAAACCTGTAACCATTGTTTTTTATAGTATGTTGAAATGATGGTGATGTTTGTCCTACTATGGAAAGCAATGATTACATGGTTTCAGCTTTCTTCAAAATATCTTCTTCGGTTTTCAAGATTTTCAAAATTTGCTTCTATAGTTTTCAACAGAATAAAGAAATTCTTAATGGTTTGGATGCAAACTTTGATGAGTAAATAGTGAGCAAACTTTTATTTTTGATGAACATTTATTTTTAGTTTTCCTTTAAACTATTGCAGGTCATGTTCAATCTAATGTAATGTTCATTCTGACTGCTTAGATAACGAAAGAGGCTATAAATTGTGCTTAATCTACTGAATGAAGAGCTGAGAATCATATTAGCCAGTACTGAATGTTTTCAGTTTTTCATAAAGATATTTTATCATGTTTTTTTTATTGCTTACTTTTCTGAAAACCAAATTCTAAATGTCTTATGAGCTCATAAAGAGATTTGTTCTAAAGCACTTGCAGCAAATGTTATGCTCACTCAGCAAATAGTCCATTAATGTTGGTGTTAATTGGTGGCAATTAACTGATTAGTGCAGTTTGTTGTCTTTGTGGTTTTTAATGCATTTTAGTATCAAACTTAATGAATCGTCTTGTTTTTATATGTAGCCTCTTTGGCCACAGGCCGTGTTTTTAAAAGGTTTGCTTTAATTATGCTAATTACTGTCATTAGCAAACAACCTGTTATGTATTTAACCTTCTGTTGATATTAGAAATGTATTACTTTACATAATAAGTAAAATAACTTTCTATGATGTCAATTGTTAAATGGCCGTAAAATGGAAAAATAGAATGGAAAAAGCATATTTAGGCATATTTAACATTTTACATTATAAAATAAAATCCTAATTTTTTTTAGCTGTAACCTTTTACATAATGCCTCCATACAGTATATGCTAATAAACATAATGTCATTTTTTTGTAATTAAACACTTTACTATTTTGTATTTTTAATTTAAAACTTTACATTAAAATCATTTTTTCTAGTTTTGATTCTATTGATTTGTAATCAAAAATTATACGATTATTTTTATTAATCTATTAATATATTCAAATGTTATGTAAGACATATTGTTTTAATATGTATTTATTATATATATATATATATATATATATATATGATAACGGTCCAAATACTAATAACCCCAAATTTATATGTTATAGAAAAATATTAAATACAAATAAAAAAGAAGAAGTCAAGAGAATCAAAAAATTTACAAATTCTGTGGAAATTTTGTAGGTTGTAAATTTTTTTATTATTATTATTTTTTTTTTTTTTGCAATATTCAGCTTGAATTTAATTGTATTATCTTTCAATTTTTAAATATGTTTGGTGATTTAATAAATAAATATGTTGGTGTGTTTAATAAATTTGTTTTATTTTAATGCACCAAATAAATTGCCTATATTCACTGAGAAATGGATAAAAATATTCATTTTTAAATTGTGGTGTACTCAAAATTATTTAATTAATGGTTGGGACATTTTTTTTATAAATATCTGACAAATCTTAAATTAGAACATGTTTCTTATTCTACAATTTTTATGCATGCAGAGTATTCTGAAAAATCATGTAAGCAAGAATACTTTTGAATAGTTATTTTACCAGCTTATTTCTTTAACACATCTTAAAATATCCCCAAGAACACATTTTTTTTAGCTGAATGGAATGATCTGGATTCCCCCGTCCTGTTTTTGCTGTGAGGAATAAGCTTCTACTTAAAAATACAGCAGCGTTTCCTGCTTTAGACACGCCTGCAGCCCAGAATAACATCAGCCGTAATGAGCACTCAGTCACCGCAGCATATGCAGCCAAAAAAGCATCACTCTGTTTTTACTAAGAAACACGCCATATCCCCCAAAACATAAAAAACTGTAACTGACAACAAAGGTTAGAAAATAGAATTCTATTTAACTGCACCGCAGGCTAATTCATAGGGCACCTGATTATGTTGCAGCTTGTTATCTGTAAAGCCTCGGTATTTATAGGAAAGGTTAACATATGCAGCATTTTCAAATTTTTTTTTTTTAAATATCATTTAAAAATGTCATGAACCATATAATTTAATTTACATGTTCAGCATCACCAGCTGATTTAGAAGCAAAAGAAATTTCAATTCAAATTAAAAGCAAGCAAATCACTGTGCAAGACTTTTCTGCCGATAAAAAGTGTCATGTGTGCATAGACGGTTAATTAAGAGTCTAATTTAGTACGTTTTCACTTAACGGTGTGTGGGAGGTTTGCGCTACAAACTCTGCGCTTTGATCATCTCTGTAATCAACGGTAATGAGAAACATCAGTCTATGAGAAATGTGTTGCTCAAGGGATTTTGGGAAATGTAGTACAGCAGATGAGTCACCGTGTCCCTTGAGTCGGGCACTGTGGGGAAAGGGAACTGTTTGGACGCAAGGCAGGATGCATGTCATCCCTTCCTGCTAAAAATAATACAGGGTGCTTTCGGCCTTCGAACTTGTGTTTACTGATTCAGTGCCACATCTGCACTGCAATTCTCCTCTAAAGTCATGAGAACTCGTAAGTCAAACCACAAGTAGAGGAGAAGAGTTCACGATAGCTAAGGTGGCTTGTTTTTGTGATGGGGGTAAAGCGGGCTGCTCGCTAGGTTACATAAATTTGACAGGGTGTTCTTATTTTTTGCCCGAGTTAAAATAACCAGATGGCTCCACACGTTTGACAGTCTTTCACACATTCCCTATATTAAGAGTGTGCTCAGAAAAGCAGTTATATTTAGCCCAGTTACTGCTGGTTTGCGATTCTCTTTTCAGCATCAACAGCTCTTCTTGGCTTCATTACACATAATGTTCTCGCGAAGGCTCGAAGCCAAAACACGAGGTGCGAGTGTGTTTTGTCTCATAACATTGATTTAGTGCTGATGTCAGGTGATGCAGAAATGGACCGCGTCCCACTGTAGTTTCAACAAGTGCCTTGTTAACATAATTAAAATAGAGTGGCGGGACTGATGGAAAACACGGACGTCACTGCGGTTCTTCTGCGTCCAACCTGTTGCTTTATTTACTCTTATAGTACAGTGGACGGATTCCAAATAAAAGGAATCTAGTGATGGAATCATTTGGTATTTAGTTTGGTTGACAGTTTTTGTTTACTCTGCTTTCGGTCAAATTATAAATATGCAAATACATTACTTCA